CGCTCTTCGCCGTTTGGGCAGCTGTTTTATAATTATCCGTTGTTTTCGGTTCAACTGCTTTTCCTGCATTTTCTGTCACTTTCTTTTTTTCTATCGCTAGAGATTTAGCATATGGTACATGAGCGATCCTGACACGACCTAACGTAAAATTATTGTCAAACTAGACAAATCTTGTATTATATTATTGTAAGTATGTAATTGTATACTAATATAATTAGTACTTATATTTAAAAAAATATCTAATTATACACTAATATCTACATTTTTAAGTATCTGCATGTACATTTTCAAGAAACAATTATATTACCATTTCCATTTAGGCTTAATTCACTGTTGCTTGCTGTTCCTATCACTTCGGTATGATTTCGGCGTACATCTTTGGAAACACTACTACTCGCAGAAATTGTTTTTTCTATTGCAGCATCTCGCATCAAACGCCATCTTTCGTACATTTTCTGTTGCGGATTTACCAATTTTCTCGCCTGTTGAGTAATTCCAATTTGCCTGGTAACGCATGTAGCTGCTGAAGGGTGCGCTACTCTTTTCCTGCCAACCTCTTCTGTCTGTTCCTTTTCTTTTTCAAGCAATGTTGATGACTCTTTTGGTGACTCCGTTGCCTTTGACCTTTCTGGTAGTTGATATTCCTTATAACAATATATACACACGTATATAATTAGATCAATATTCTCCAACAATTTGTTATTCTTCAATTTTCAAAATCTCAACAGGGTCAACTATACACACCTGAAATATCTTTAGACACTCTTCTTGTACGTCGTGATCTGAGTCAGATGTACTAAAAATTACATCAATATCGTTATCAATGATACTACTCTGACGGTCATCGTTCTCTTCTTCACCATCATCTACCGGACTCAGACGAATGCTTTCCAAAGAATTTATCGATCTGTCAGTTGAATTTCTTTCTTCCTTATACCCCATGCGTGCATGTGATTTTTCGATTACTTTATCATCTGACTTATTCTCCGTTTTCGAGCATTTGTCATTTTTATTCTTAATATGTTCTTGCTTTCGTGAAGAACTTTTCGAATAATATCTATGCCGTTTTCCTGATCCATGATGGTCTCTCCTATCACTCTTACTTTTGAGTTTATTTTCCCTTCCTTCCCTATCTTTTTCTTTCTCCCCATATTTCTCCTGGTGCTTTCCTTTATTCTTATCTTTATCATACTTCTTATCTCTACATTCTTTGCTCTTATGTCTTGAATAATTCTTAGTTTTACTTTTGCTTTTACTACTCGATGTGGAATGCGATTTTTTATTTGAATCATGCTTATCCTTATACCTTTTATGAGACATACTATGATCCTTTTGACTTTTGCTTTTGTTTTTATCTCTGCTTTTATGTTCCTTTACATCTCCAATGGTACTTTTATGTGAATCTATTTGCAATGTACTTGCTTTCTCACATGGTACAGTTTTTGAACCTTCTTCGCTCGATAATCTCTTTTGTTTCCGAATGTTAATACATACCGATATTTTCTCATTCTGCTGTTCTTCTGTAACGTGCAATTCGTTACTATCAACTACCTTTTGAACATGTGTGCCCACAGTGTGTATATTATTTGAACAATCAGATGTTTCAGCATCGCAATATGATTCATTTTGTTCTAAAGTCATAGAATCAATATTTGTGATATTAACTTTTTTTCCATCATGGCTGTAACCATCAGTATTATTGCAATTATTACTATTGTCTTCTTCGTCATCAGAAAATTTTGGTTCTAAATCTACAGAAGAATCCTGAGATACTTCGCTAGATCGTATATCAGAAGTTGATTTTGTACATGTAAGTACCTCATCCATCATATCAAAATCAGTTTCAAAATGATCTAATACAGATTCATTTAATCCGTCTGTAGTTTTTAATGGAGTTTTCACTTTCTTTGGAACATACTCTTCCCTTTTTTTTTTACACTTTGGATAGTAGGTTTCCCTGAGTTTAGATAGATACTCATTTGAACTACCATCCTTATATGAATTTATCGAAGCTGAATCTGATTTACATGTTGGTATGTAACTCTGCATAGTATCTCGAGCTTCAGGGTTAATTATTATAGTAGGTTTGTATTTAATTTCAACTGTTGACGGTTCCATAGACTCACTGCTGATATTTAACCAAGGCTTAACTCTATCCGGTGAGCATTTACGTTTCACTGCAACCGAACTTTTCCTGGTTGGCATATATGATACTATTGGTATATGACGTTTCTTTAATTCTGCGATTGGTGTTGGATTATAAACGCATGGAAGTGATGTATTAACTGGCGCCGGAGTATCTGCTCTTTTTTCTACCATATTAGCCGTAACATTATCTATTGTTCCAGATGATCCAGAAGTTAAAGTGGGTTTTAGTCCTTCTACTACCTGAGAAACAACATTCTGACAAGAAAATTTATTATCTACATCTGTGACATTTCGATTAGCTAGGACTTTTTTGACAGCTTCTGTTACTAATTGTTGTAAAACGTCTGAATTGGATGTTACCATTGTAGCTGGTTTGGACTCTTCAACTTGACCCGTGGAACGGTTTTGCACCGACTCGATCGCCTCCGTGGTGATTCCAACATCTTCTAAAATAATATTTAAATCTGTATTCTTAATAAACACAAATTTTTTATGACAAAGACTTTGGCATAAAATTGAAATAAGTTTGCTGAATAACGTACAACATTGTACATAATATATCTGAGGTTGAAAGAAATTGGAACAACAATACGACTTACCGCGTTTCGAATGCTTGAAATGACAGTAGGGTCTATCGCACGTTCCACTTTCATAAAATGGACAGTTAATAGCTTTAAAGTAACCAGTCGAGGGCAACATAACTATTTCATCGTATATTATACTTTCGATCACTCATTCTTCGATCAAAAAGTATTATATGAAGTCATGTAAGAACATTGATTTTTAAACAAAACCAAGTTTTCTAAACTTCTTTTATACATAAAACATTATTTTTTTTGCATTTAATGAATGTGCTTGGTCATTATCCGAGAAAGATTTGTGAATTTTTACAAGATGCATCAAAAACACGAAACTCGAAACGAATCGAATCCCGATAACAGAGGTTATGTACACTTGCCTCGTACATTTCCCTACTTGAGATTTGTTTGAAAGTATTCATTCCCTTCCACCTCAATCAAAACCAATCTCCCCCATAACATTTTACTTTTTCCCCCCAACTACTCTTCTCCAATTTTCTGTTATTTTTCACCTCTATGATAAACTCTAAATTCGTATTCACCACTAGGAAACGTAGTCGTATGAAAATTGAAATCCCTAGCCAACTTATGATTTCTCCTTTTATACTTTCGTATGCAGTAAGTATAGTTAATAATAATAATAATAATAATAATAATAATAATAATAATAATA